AGCAGACCAGCCATTCAGGGAAAGTCATGACTATTGACTCAGTAAAAGATAAATGGATACAGTTAGGAACATCTTGACCTCCATCTTTTATTTTCAGGAAACTCATATTCTGGAATATATGGAATGCTGGTATTTATAGTGTGCCTAATCTAAAATACCTTCCTCATGGCAGAAATTCAAATAATCAGTTAGGTAGAAAGAGGAAGAGCCTTCCTCGTGATTCATTAAAAAAGGGTCTTAATTTTTAAAAAATTGTTAAGTATTTTTAAAAAACTTCAAATGGTAGCATCCCTTAAAATGGTCATTCTCAGAACAGAGTTTGTCTGTTTAAGATGCTCCAAATTCTTGGCACTCCAAGAAGATGTATTATATTGATGGTTCAGATATATTATTCTTATACGGTTTGTAGCATTGTTGCAGGATCTAATCTGGGTCGGTCACCGGGACCAGAGGTTTCGTCTTCTGAGTTTTCAGACTCAGGCTGGAGCCCATCCTCAATGTAGCATTGTGTTGTTTAGACATGCTTTCTGGAGTAAGATGATGTAATTATTAAAGACCTTCCCCCTCTATCCAACTTCCAACAGCTCTGTGTGTCTTTTGATAATCAGCTATGTAACATGGGGACATGTTTCCGAATGGAAAATGCACAAGGGCTCTGGGCGAATGAGAGATCAGCATAATCACCAGCCAACCACTTTTTCCAGTACTGAAGATCCATTTAATTATGGTCCAAAATTGACATTTCTATTCATTTCCATAAAGAGATATTTACTATAGTTCTATCTGGACTTGGCTGATTTCAAAACCCGAGTAGGGTTTCTTTGGATGAGACGAGGAGATTCCAAGGCAATAGGCTTACCGTGGAAGCTTAAAAACAGGCCACAGTAAATGTTTCTGTAATGTTCCTAAGAAAACTATATGGAGAAATCTACAATATGTAGTCAGCAGGAGCTGAGCTTGATTTTTAAAAGATTTTATCGCTATTTAATCAAATATTAGGCTTTCTTTAATGATAGCCCATATTATTTTTTATTATTTAAAAAAAAAAACTAAATCTTTACATAGAAAGTTATCTTTAGAACAGGCAGTGAAAACTGCCCTATAAATATTGTAAATAAAAGTCTTTACGAAGATTGGAATGTATGTTGTGACTAGAAGATCATTATTATCTGAATTCATTGGTATTTTCCAATTAAAATTATGAAGTGGAGACAGATAATAAGTACCCACAGGTTAATAACTGACATAATTCTCTTGGTTGAGAAGTGAATAGTACACATGCCCTTCTCTTCTGTGAGTTTCCCACCGCGCAGAAGTTCTATATGTTCTCATATTTCCATACGAGAAAAATACCTGTCCAAGCTTTGTGTAGCTGCTGATGACTGCATGGCTGCCTTTCTATCTCACTATCAGTTTTCCAAAGGAATCTGGTTGATTGATCATTACAGATAGTCCTCACTTAACAAGCACAATTGGGGCCGGTAACTCAATCGCTAAGTGTCACTGTTATTAAGTGAGACATTGCCTAATTGCTATGGACTTGCCTCACATCTGCCATGATCATTAAGTAAAACATCATGTGATCATGACTTGAACTTTTACTGCCAGATTCTCCATTGACTCTGCTTGTTGAAAGCAAACTCTGAAGTATGCAAATGGCGATTGCATGGCTATGGGGCACTCTTAATTCATCACTATGCAGAAATATGTCTCCTTTTTTCACTGTATAATTACTTTTTTTGACGTAAGATTTTTTTTTGTATTTTTCTATTAAGAATACTCTACACACACAAAACCCAATTAATTATATTGTTCTGATTGTGGTAAAATATATGTACTTTTGGATTTTTGTCTTAATATTTATATGATGCTTTCACTCATTTGTCCTTGAAAGGACAGTGACATCTAATGGTTGTTCAAAGTAATTTCAAGTAGCCAATTTATATATTTATTTTATTTTATTTTATCCCCTTATTGTCCCACTGTGTTCTTGACATGATTACACTAAAATTACTGCTAGTTATGCTCAGGTTAATGAAAATAAAATGAATATGCATTTTAACTTACAGAAGTAAAATGTGCCAATTAATGAAAACCTTTGCTGTTTAGCAAGTTCCTTCTGCGTATAGAGTGGTGCTTAAAAGTTTATGAACTCTTTTAATTTTTAATATTTTTGCATTATGAACTGTGGTGACACAATTAGAATGCAGTATTGCAGGCTAATTCTGCTGACTGCCAGCTGCCAGCAGTTCGATCCTGACCAGCTCAAGGTTGACTCAGCCTTCCATCCTTCCAAGGTCGATAAAATGAGGACCCAGGTGGTTGGGGGCAATATGCTGACTCTGTAAACCGCTTAGAGAGGGCTGTAAAGCACTGTGAAGCGTTATATAAGTCTAAGTGCCATTGCTATTGCTATTGCTATTATCTACGACCTAAATATAACATGTTTCCACACAAATCCTAAAAGTAGAAAAAAGAGAACTCAATTAAACCAATGAGTCAAAACATAATATTTGTTCATTTATTTATTAGGAAAATGACCCAAAGCTACATATTTGTGTTTGGCAAAAGAATGTAAACCTTTGCTTATAATACCTGGCATGTCATGATTGGACAGCAATAACTGCAACTAATTTTTTCTGATAACTGTGATCAGTCCTACACATTGGAATTGTAGTTATTTCCTCCTTCCAGAACAGCTCAGAGATGTTAGTGGGCTCCCCCACCCCAAGAACTGCCCATTTCAGGTCCTTCCACAACATTTCTGTGGGATTAAGGTCAGGACTTTGACTTGGCTTTCCCAAAACATTAATTTAACATTAATTTTCTTCGGATATAATCATTCTTTGGTTTGTGTGTTTTAGATTGTTGTTTTGCTGCATGTCCATTTTTTCTTGACCTTTAGTTCACAAAGAGGTACCCGGACATTTTCATTTAGAATTTGCTAATACAGTTCAGAATTCTTAGTTCCATCAATGATGGCAAACAGTCCTGGTCCAGAGGGAGCAAATCAGGCCCAAATGATGATACTGCTATTACCAAAATTCACTGATGGTATATGGCAGGGATAGGCAACCTCGGCTCTTTTATGACTCGTGGACTTCAACTCCCAGAATTCCTGAGTCAGCATAGCTGACTCAGGAATTCTGGGAGTTGAAGTCCACGAGTCATAAAAGAGCTGAGGTTGCCTCCCCTGGTATATGGTAACAAGTATAATGTTTTTGACTCATTTGCCTAATTGTAAGGTGACCAACCATCCTCCTTTAGGGAGGACAGTCCTCCTTTTGTAAGTTCTGTCCTCCCTCAAAAAGTGTCCTCCTTCATGTCCTCCTTTTCGATATTTGAAGACTAATCTGCAAGGCCCGTTGCCTGGAGGCCGTACGGGTCTGGATGGGGAGGAACAGACTCAGACTCAACCCTTCCAAGACCGAGTGGCTGTGGTTGCCGGCGCCCCGGCATAGTCAGCTGATTCCATCGCTGTCTATAGGGGGCGAAACTTTGGCCCCCTCAGAGAGGGCACGCAACTTGGGTGTCCTCCTGGATCCACGGCTGACACTG